AGAAATAAAAATACTTAGAGGTTAATTTGATTGTTAAGAATTTGAACACCATAAAGTAAAGACCTAGTTATTTAGTCCAAGAAGAACTAACCTCCTTCACTTTTTAATTTGCAGTACATTTAATTGAGCACAACTTCTAATCCCTTATGGTCTTGAAAATTCTCTAAGAATTTTTGCCTTTGTACTCTGCCCAGCAGCGCTTGCACATTCCCCTCCTCCACCCCCCACACATACACACTGAGAGCTTTTTTGGTGTAGAATTTCAGCAATGATAGAGGCTTGATAATATCACATTTTAATATTTAAGTTGACTCTTACTTTTTGCTATTTTGTAGAGACAGGCATTAAAATTCTAGTAGTTTATTCAGTGGAATCTTTCATATTCTAGATATTATTGGATAAAGAAGAGTGAAATATATGTCCATTTCTGGACACATATACATGTGTACAGCACAATATATTTCACAATATATTGTAAAACAATTACCACAATATGTTTAGTTAATATCCATCATCTCATATACACACAATAAAAAGAAAAAAAAATCCTTGTGACGAGAACTCTTAGGGTGCATGCCCTTAATGACTTTTCCTACATATTACGCAGCAGGGTTAACTATAGTCATTATACTGTATATTACATCCCTAGGACTAATGCATATTATAACTTGAAAATGAGGTAATAATCCTATTTCTAAACAAAAACAAATTCAGTTGACTATCTTTGTAGTAACTGAATAATTTATGAAAACCGTTCCCCCTGTTCTCCCCATCATCTACTGTCTAACCTGGTTTAGCCTTCATTGTGAGTTCCCACCTATAGTGGATTATCCATAGTGGATTAAAAATGGCCACACATTCTTTCTTAAATCTCTCATTGAGAAGTCAATTTTATCTCTGACCCCTGCCCTTGAATCTGGCCTGGTACTGTGACAATTGCTGAAGTGAGGCTGTACCAGTAAGAGGCCTTTAAAAGGATTTGGTGGTTTTTGTTTTCTCCCTCTTAGAAGACAGATTCTCAGGAAGTTCCCTTTTGGATGTTGTGAGATGCTCAGGCTCTGTGCAGGGCTTCAGCCACACCACATAGAGGAGGCCTGAGGGGCGACAACCGACTGCCCCTGATGAACTTAACTACTGACACTCAGTGCCAACTTCTGTCCAGGAGGGAGTTGTCTTGGCCCAGCCAGACCAGCCCTCAGGCCCTGACCTATATCACATGAAGCAGGACCCCCCAGCAGAGCCTAGTCAAATGTACAGAATCATGCAAGAAAGTCAAATAGTTGTTCAATGTCATGAAATTTGATAGTAGAGCCACAACTAAAGCATTATTCTTCAGCTTCTTTCAATGGAAGACTTAAGTGTGGCTCAATTAAAGGTTTCTACAAACAGCTAAGCTTTTGCATTTTCTTCCAATTGACTTTATGTTGGATTTTCAACTGGGCTGTAAGTTATCCAATGTCACAGATATCATTCCATTTTCTTTTCATGTGTCCCTGTAGAGATCCTAACCCATTGCTGGGCACATGGGGCTCATTACTGTAGGTTTCCCTTTGAATTATAACAAAGGAGGAGCAATTGGGGGTAAAAGGGCATCTCTGGATATAAATGCATTTTAAAAATATAAAGATTTTGATCAAACCAATTTAAAGAAGGGGAGAGAGAGAAAGAGTGTGTGTGTGTGTATGTGTGTGTGTGTGTGTGTACATACAATCTGGATTATCTGAACAATGGAATTAACTGTCATTGAGGGTTCTTGTTGTTGTTTGTAAACTTAACCTCAAATATCAGTTTTAGTTAGAAATATTGTCATCTGTTGGAAGTCTACCTGTGGAACTGTAAAAGAAGACCAGGTTGAAGGGAAATTATTATCATAAATAAATAAATAAATAAATTTAACATACAAAAATGTCATTATTTGGGACTATACTATGAAAGCAGAGGTGAACATAATACTTTTCTCCATTCAGTTTTGGCCATGTATTCTGCATGTACTTGATGTGGGAAGTAAGAGTTATTATATCCATTCACTGTAATAAAATGTTCTGGGAAGGTGAATTGTTTGTAAGACCATTTACTTCTGTAACAGCAATTCCAGAATTTCAGAATTCAAGTCAGAATCTGGGTTTAGTAAGTAGCAGGATAACATTTTTTTTAAGCCAAGACCGTTTTTTTTAAAAAAAAGTTTAAAGAAACTGGTATTATTTAAAATGTGAGAGATTTTTAACTTTTTAATTCCAAGTGCACTTTTGAGTTCTTTTGCTTTTTAATTGCTAATCATTATCTGTAAAAGAGAACATATCCAGTATCTTTAAACAATTCTCCAAAAACCTTTTATTGAGAACCACACGATCTTGATAGTAAATCTCTCCCTGCTACGTTGCTGCCCAGGATTCATATTTCTTTTTCAGAACTGAACTTGCTAAGAGAGAAAAAGGAGATTAGAAAATAATACAGTGTACAAAAGGCTGTGTGTGTGTGTGTGTGTGTGTGTGTGTGGTGGTTGTGCTCTCCAGATTCTGAAGTTGCACTTGGAAAATTGAAAGGTAATTGGTCTTTACCTAAAGGACACATTAAAAAACATTTATTAAATATTATATACTCTTGAAATATAAGTGATTCACAATAACGAATGTTTCTGCACAAAGCTTTATTCATGCACTCATACTGTCAATATATATTGTTCAAATATTGTACATTTAAAAATTACAACGTGAGTTGTTGAAAGCATAACGCACTCAAATCTCTGTTTTCTTCAAGTGAGACAGCGAGAGAGAACTGGGAGGTGGTGGGGGGGAGCAGATATGGAGGGAGGGAGAGAGACGAAGAAGAAGAGAGGGAGGAACGAAGAGAGAAAATACTGTTCATTCTGGATCCCAATCTTATTCTATCCCAAGCTTGTGAGCATCGCTTCTAGGTTGTGACAAAGAGATGACCACGTCGTTTCTTCTTAGTTCTAGACAGGCTGATACAGTGGGCACTGCATGCATGTCTGTCGCCTCATCAAAGTCCCCATTCCTTCAGGAGTTATGAGCTCCCGATCCCGAGAGGACCCAGTGCACCGTGCTAGGCGCGCAAGTCCCTTGGAGAGGCTGCCACAGGTTCGTGCGTGTGCGGTCAGGGGCGTTGGTGCATCCTTATGTTGGAGAGGAGGAGTCCCTTCTGCCAGGCTTACCTTGATCCCCATATTTTCCGGGTATAATAGGAGGAGTGTGTGAGGTCAGGGGGACAGGTAGCCCTTTCAACAAGGTGGGGTGCGGGCTGCAGACAAGCAGAGTGGGGGAGGAGGGGGTGGCTTTGCTGAATCTTTAGTGGGGCCCTGGGTGTTTGCAGACCCCAGTACAGCCGCCCCGGGTCTCCACGGTGCCGCCTCAAAAGCTGCTGCCTGAGATCCCTGAGCCTCAGCCTTGCCTCGATTTGGGATCCTTTCTCCTCCTTTCCCACCACCTACCTGGCTTGAGCGGCGGACCTGCCCAGCCCCGGTTCACCTCCGCCTCCCGCCGCCGCGCCCCAGCTCGCAGCGCTCCCGCCGGCGTCAAGGAGGAATCCGGAGCAAACCCACGAGCGGCCGGCGACTTTTCCTCCGGAATCTGGCCTGGCGCCTTTTGGGTGAGATGAGCGGGGGAGCTGGTATCTCTGCCTGCCGAAGTTGCCCCGAAAAGGGCTGGTAGAAAAAGAGAATATCCGCGTAGGCTGAAAGCTCCACGTTCTTCTCCAGCCGCGTCTTTGCCTCCTCTTTTTCCTCGTCCTGGGTTTGTTTATATAGGATCTGGAAGCTGGGAGGAACTGCCCACCCCCTCCTGGCGGCCGCCCTCCCTTCCGGGGCTCCGGCTCCCCGCACGTGGCCCACAGCAGCACAGTCTCCCAGTCTCCTCTGAAGGCAGGAGACCGCGAGCAGCGAGGAGCAGCGGAGGGGGCGAGCGTGGTGCATCTTTCCTGTCTGCTCGCCCTCCCCAGTGCCCTCGCTCACTACAATCCCAGCTCAGACTGGTTTCGCCACCTCCGTCCCCTTTGCCCGAGGAGAGACTGAAGACAGTGCCCTTTAGGTGCTCCTGACGTTTCTCTGGGTTCATTCAGTTGCCGGAAAATAATGGTAACATGAACAGCGGAGCGTGAGAGCGTCCCCAGAGGAAGGGAAGAGATTGATGGGCAGAGTGGTTACTTCAAGGAGGATCACATTCCGAGGGCTGCGCAGGGGAAACGTCGGCGCTTCCACCTCCTGGCTGGACTCAGCTGACATCTGTAGCCTCCGTTCCCCCAGGTTCCCAGGTCGCCCAGTCTCTGCCTGCGGATGAGCGTTGACAGCGCGTGAGCAGCCAGGAGTTTGAGGACCTCTAACCAAAGAGGAGTTCTCCCAGGATCCCGTGTCCCTGCATCCCTGTTGAGCCCACCTGCACGCTGGCTTCCGAGGGAGTTGAACTTGAGTTCAGGTGCGTTATCCCAAGGGGGACGTGGCAGGAGACGTTTAGGGAAGACTAGGAAGGTGATGCTCCAATGTCAAAAGCAGACACTTTCCTTCCTTACACTTGCTGGGGCTGAGCGGGTTCCTCCCACTCAGTTCTCGATACTTACCCTCTCCTCCCCAACCCAGCCCTCTGCACTAAGGGGGGAAAACACCCAGGCTCCAGTTCCCCTAAGTGTCGAGCATGCCATTGACTTTTTACAATTTAGGATTGGTCTATAAAACAATTATATTTACCCCATTGCTTTGTATTCATGGAGGTCAATAGACTTAATGATTGCCTCAGTCAAGTCATTTACTTCTAAGCCAATAGATACTGCCTTCGTCATAGTTTTCTGGGGGGAAAGTAACTGTGTGTTTGTTCTGCAGATGCCCCACTCCCTCTGAACCGTGCAGATTGGTGCTGAGCACGCAACAAAAGTTTTTAGCTTCTCCTCAGTTTCTGGTGCTTCACAGGGGAGAGGAAAGGACTTTGGCATTAAACACAAGAAGCAGTCAGGGAACCATCTCCTTTAACTTTTCGTACCTGTTATAATTTGCAATGAAGAGGAAACAGAAGAGATTTCTGCAGATGACTTTGTTATTCATGGTGGCTTTAATATTCCTGCCCAACATTGGCCTCTGGTCTCTGTACAAGGATAAGCATCTGGTGAAATCTACGGAGCCTGGGGAGCAGCAGGTAAGTACCACCCAGAGAAAGATCGCAGGAAAACTGGTAAGGCATGCGACGCCCCTAGGGACACAGGAAGCAGGTGGGGGATAGGCTTGGGTTTGCTCCCAAGTCTTTACAGAACTGACACTGCAAGACTCTGGAGACTCTGGGGTTTAAGCAAGTAGTTGTTTTAAGATCGCAGTCAATGACAGAATGAAATGTAAAATAAACTAGCAAAAGGAGGGTAAGAGAGGTCAAGAAGAAAAGATAATCTTTCACAGCTGGTCTTGAGCTGGGTAAAAGGTAACAGTTTATTTGTGGGATGTGGGAGTAGGTTTGACACAAGTTTATCACAGAGATTTGCTTTTGCCTTTTATCTGCTTTGGGTATGTTTATTGAATTGGGCAGATTAAATAATTAAACTTGTGAAAGAGTGAACTAGTTATCAAAAAAAAAACAACAATCTACAGTTTTCTATATTTTTGGTTGTTATTTTTGCTTAGCAACAGCTTTTTATCCTGTAGAAACTTAAAGTCTGTTTCTTCTCTCCTGTTGCTAAGGTGGTATGTTGGGGTATACAGGCAGAGTCATCAAGCATGTCCGTTCAGTTTCACAGTCTGGTGATAACAGTTTGTTGTTAAAAGCTTTCCTTCGAATTGGAAACACCATGTAGTATGGCATGTTTTCTTTTTACTTAGTATGCAATCCATTAGTATGTGTATCGCTCAGGATTTAACGTGGATCAAAATAACTATCTTCCTTAGTGAGCAATAATGAAAAACATCCTGCACAAAATCTCGATGAAATTAAATATTGTTGAATTCCTTGTTTATTGATAATAAAACAGCTTCTGTAATTAAACTTTTAACAATAGAATGCAGCCTTCTTCATGATACTGATATAACACTTTTTCACTTATTCCTGTGCATCACCTTGGGATATTAATATTCTTAATTCCAAGGGTCATCACCCATGTACACTATGTACCTTCCACATAGGAAGGGCTTACGTTGTCCATGTGTGGACAACAGCAATATAAAGTAATGACAATGAAACATTTGTTCTTCTATGTAACAAAGTTTAATTTCTTTTTACACTGTGAGTGGTTAGTTGTGAAATATATGGAAGTAATCTGCTTTACCATTATGACAAATAATCATTATCAGTTGCTAAACTTTAAAGCTAGCTAGTTGCTTATGGATTTTTGGTGGATTGGAATTTTGAGGGAAAATGCTGACATATTTGTATTTAGTTGTTGATTGCTATCATCCTCTCTAATAGGGACATAACTTTGATTTAAAGTATATTCTGTTCTCTCGTTCCGATGGGAGAAAAAAGGACCTGGGCACTGTGGATGTTAAACTTTTTTCTCTATTTAGATCACTTATTTCTCCAACCCTTGATATGAACATTAACATTATTAACATTAGTAGTTAATACACTATTATGTAAAGTTTCCATCCCAATATCAATAAAATAACAAACAGAAAATGACTTTTTTCTTGAATTTTGCTCATTCGATTAGCAACCATCTGAAATATTTGCTGGCATAGTTAACATTAAACACTAATTAATATTATTAATGAGATCTTTACAATTTCATACTGGCTCTATTGATTTTGACCCTTAATGAGAAATTTGTATTTCCAATGGCATAAAAATACAAAATATAGCAAATCAACTCTGACTCATCGTCATAATCTTCAAAAATGGTTTTCTTGTTTCCAGAAAATTATAGTTAATATCCGATAATTAGTTAATGGGTATAAAAGGCATGGAGTGGCAAGAGAATGAGCTCTATCTCCACATTCCATATGCTGTAGAGTAAGTAACAAGATGAGTATCTTGTGACATTCCAGTTTACTAATCCTGTGTAACAGTTTTGTAACCAAGAATAAAGATAGTAGTAAAATGTCATAAAATGAATATCAATCACGTAGTTTAGTATTTTTAGCCTAAATAATGGTTTTAAAATTAATGCTTTTTTATAGGTACAAAATAAAGTTAAAAAAGTTGAAATTAAGCACTTATTGAAAGACAGAATTCATTGTAAAACAGGGAAATGTAAGCTCTTATTGGTTTTATTATACTACTAAATATAATTTGAAAGAAAATTAGAGTATGTTGACATCATTATACAACTACCAGATAAATAACAGCTAAGTGTTACACACACACACACAAACACACATGTGCAATTGACAAAATAAAAAGTGGCTTGCAGTGATGAATTAAACATGCTTAATGTTGTGATGTTACAGTGTGCTAATGTATCTATATTTCAATGTGAGTAAGTCAGCTAAATACAAAGGTTTTCAACTGAAGCATATGATTTGACTACTGGGTAATGTATTAATTAAATTTAGCAAATTTATGTTAAAACTATTTTTTTGGTTAACTGCTAAATTTCCTTCAAAGGCCATATTTTACTATGTCTATCACCAAGTTGTAAAATGCTAAGGTTAAGGATTATGTGCTGATTGGGGCATTGAAAACAGTAAGTACGGAAGCTCTTCAAAACAAGTCACGTGTCCAAATGAGAAGGCTGTTTTCACAGCAGTTTTGTGTAAAACAGCAGTTGTGGCTTTACTTGTGACATGGCAGTGCTCACAGGAGGTGAAAACTTCCACTGCTTTATGTATTTATTATTACAGTGGGTTTTAGGGAAATATTTTAACTTGTAAAAATTCAAAATTGTAGAATGGCTAATACTTTAAAATACTTTAATGTGTATTTTATCAGAGCACATCACTAATAGTTTGTCTATCTTGCTATTAGAAGGGTATTTATTATGTAAATAGTAATTTACATAACAGTTTAGTTTATCTGAGGTAAATTAAAGGGAGGTAAAACAAAAAATTGATCAAAACTGTGTATTAATTTTCAGGTTGTTTAGTATTTGATAAATTTCTCAAGTCTTTTATATTATTACAAGTTAATTATTTGTATTTACTATTATTTTACATTAAAAGTAATACTTGTAAGTCTCATAATGTTTAAACATTTGCCCCTCCTAGTATACAAAAAAGAAAAATATGAAATTAAAATTCCCAAATTATGTATTTAAAATTTTTTTATACAACCAAAAAAAGGATGGAAAAAATAGTTTTAATCATGCAATAATTAAAGGTGTTTGTTATTGTTTGGTCTCCGCAAGACTATAATAAAGTTACTGAGATAAATATTAAGCTTTTGAAATTTGCATGGTTTTCTAAAAATATAAAAATATTTTATAGTTCTTGTTTAGATGTTACAAATCATCAATCATAATTGTCATATGTTATTTTCAGTTGAATTAATTTTGCCACATTTTCATCAGCATGATATAATTATCTCCCTTATGTTGTTTAGAAATATATACATATATGTAAAAAGAATTTATTGATAAAGAATATAATATTTAGCTGAGGATGATTACTGTGTGATTATTGTATAATAATTCTTAATTTCATTAAAAAATTTTGAATAGCTATTCTTTGGTTTTAGCTGCCATTGAATAAAGTTATGTATTTAGATCTTTAAGCTGTGCATTATTATAATTAATAGAAAAAAGCTATATTTTAGAGCAAATCTACTTCATCCTCTATTATTATACATCTCTTCCTAATCATTTATGCAAACATAAGTAAATAAAAATTCCTCCAAACTCTTTGTTTGAATACATTGAAAGGATTGATGAAAACGTAGCTGTAAAATAGTTGAGCAACTAAGTTGCAAATAATATGAGTTGTAGAAATAATTCAGAATATTCATAGTACGCAGAGGTTTTTGCAATATTTGATATTAAAACTAGGATGAAAATCTGAGAATTTCATACCAGACATTTTCAGAATTGTACAGAATGATACTAGAAATATGTTTGGCCTGGATTTTTTACCACATTAAAAAACAAACAAAAAGTAGACACTCAAGTCCCTTTTTAATTGTAGAACCTTCCACCTGGTGTGGCTCAGTTAGTTGGAGCATCAATCCTGTAACCAAAGGGCTGCAGTTTGATTCCTGGGTCAGGACACACGCCCACATTGAGGGCTCAGTCCCTGGTGTGGGTGTGTATGGGAGGCAACCAGCTGATGTTTCTTTCTCTCTCTTCCTCCCTCTCCTTCTCTCTAAAAGCAGTGAAAAAAAATGGCCTCAGATGAGGAGTAAAAAAATTAAATTGTAGCACCTTCTTATGTCTTTGTACATCAGAATTTTTGTTTATTAAATAGGACTAATGAGGCCTGCCTCATAAGAAGGTACATAAAGTCCTGAGATCACACCTTGGATATTAGAAACATTGTGAGATAATGTATTGTTTTTAGTCAGATCCACATTTAGTCATATCCATAAGAATATACATATATGTATACCATATATGTATACATATATGTATATGTATATATACATATATGTATATTCTTATGGATATTTGTGTGTGTGTGTGTGTGTGTGTATAAAATTCCTGATAGAATTTTCTCAGCATCTTTGTTCAACTCTTCTAACATTAGCTCTACTTTAGGGGGATTCTTTGTTTTGGCTAAGAACTTTTTTGGGGTGGTGGTAATTTAAACTTGTTTTAGGATGGGAAGACATCAGATGATTGGTACCCAGTGTAAGCAAACATGCTTTCCTTTGTCATGGTGAGCACTAAAGCTGTAGGGTGTGTCTGAGTATCTTTTTTAGCAAACACCTTAGATATTGGAAGAGCTAAGGACAGGAGAAAAAATTAAGATTTTCTCTCTTCCTGTACTTAGGATTGTAGATTATCAATACCCTAGATGTGAAATGATGCATTAATTTAAGCCATATTGTTCTTAATTAGCAAAGATGTAGATTTTAAATTAGGGTTTTAAGGACCTTTTCTTGAATTTATGGAAAATCCATTCTGACTTGTTACAGGATGATGCCATACAGATGACTGCAACACGCGTCTTAATTATTTGCCGTGACCTTGTAGATCGAAACATGATCAGTTCATCACCTTGTCCCATGGGAGACAGTGTGAAACATAGTCTTTCATTCAAAATCTGGTAAAAAATAAGATAGTT